CCCATTTGTTGATTGGGTTATTTGTTATCTTATTGTCTAATTTTTTGAGTTCTTTGTATACTCTGGATATTAGGGCTCTATCTGAAGTGTGAGGAGTAAAGATTTGTTCTCAGGATGTAGGCTCCCTTACAGAGGTTTTTTAATGTGAAAAAATAACCAAATGGGATGACTAAGCGTATTCTCATATCACAGGTATAAAGAGTGTAAAAATTATGTGTGTTAGAATCTATGAYGTATGATAATACATTTTCAGGTTTGGAATATTTCCATAGACTTTACTGGTTGAGCATCCCAAGTCTGAAGATTCAAAATCCACCATGTGGCTCTCAAACAATTTCAKATTTCAGAGCATTTTTGATTTTGAATTTTTGGATTTGGAATGTGCAACTAGTACCCACCTTAAAGGTCATGTCTTCCCTGTGAGGATTAAATGAGATAATGTAGGTCAAGTTCTCAGCCTGCCATGGAGTAAGGGCTCCATAAATGGTGGAGGCTGCTATTGTCCTTGCTGTCCTTGCTTTTGAAGCTGGCAACAATAGAAACAAAAGCGTCAGGTCATCATAATCTAGCAAAATGAAATGGAGATTATCTTTTTTACTAGGAAAAGATACCAGAAGCAGTAAACCTCAAGCAAAAACTGAATGCAGAACAGGCAGAGAACTGAAAAAGAGGAAAATAGTCCTTTTTATCCTGCTGAAAAATCTGAGAAATGATTTCCTGAATCCCAAATGTATGCTGGAAACATTTAAAAGAGTATTGTTCAAATCGTGGGTTGGAGTCCTTCTTTGAATTAGGAAGTAAAGAAAATTGCCAGAACATTTTGCGAGTGTTTTCAAGTGTTTGTTTTTTTATCTCACCTTTCACTAACAGCTTCTTCTAGTACACTGCCTATGATTTTTGAATGGATTACTGAGCAGCTCACTAGTGAAAGCCTCCTGGGCGGCCTTCTGCAGTGGTCATTTTCATTTAGGAGGGCCTGGGGGGAGCCAGGGGGGTCAGTCAAACTCTTTCACCCGCYTCCAAAGCACCTGGCCTGCTTTAGGAGTGGGCCTCACACCAAGGAACAGCCTGTTCATTGTCCTTTGATGCCGAAGACAATGCAGCCAGTGGTGGGACACTGGAAAGGCGAGTGCCAGGATCCTGCAGTCAGAAAATGCCAGCCCGATGCCACCGCCTCTACCGCAGGTGGCTTCTTGGCCCATGGTTGGCCTCACTGCATTTTGGAACACGAAACGATGGAGGTAGAGTGTGTATGAACGCGCTCACAGCATGGATGTGTGATGAAGAGCTGCCAGATGCCCTTCTAAATGGGACAGGTAAAGACAAGGACAATGGCTCTCCTACACAAACAAAGACCCTGTTATTTTTCAGGGAGAATCTAAATTGGTTATTTCTTCCATTTCTATTTCAACTTGTTTCCATCTCAGGATTGATGGCAACAGTTTACCTACCTAGTTGGGTTGGCTTCTAAAAAGGATGGACTSACCTTGTAAAAGTGGGATGTTATGTGGTCACTACTGAATAGGAAGCCTTTAGGGGTTTTTGAGAATGAAACTCAAGAAGCAATTCTAGGTCACAATATCAGAAAAAGCAAGTTGCCGTGGAGACAGTGGCCTCTGAATCTCYAAACACATGGGTTGGCCAATCCATAGAACACAGCACAGATTTGGTTCCCTGTCCGTGCGCCAATTACAAATGCACTGCCTGGCATTCCAAGCCCGCCTCGGGGCCCAGAGGCAGGATGTGGCCCAGTTGGGAGCGGTGCTGAGTCACCATCCCATGTCATGGTACATCTGTGCTGTGATCCTGCCTCCTGGATTCACTAAGGCACTCCTTGGGGATGGCAGACTCMACTTGACTTATTTTTTTCCCCTAGGAAAACTGCAATCACATAATAAATTTCCTAAAAAACATTTTCCTTCAAGTTTGTCTTGGAAATTTTAAATATGTGTACCCATTTCACTCATACTCCCTTAATCTTGACCTGATGTCTGCGACACTATGATGGTGGCTTCTCCTTGTGGTCAAGTACTGCAACCCTCCTGGGATTTCTTGGATTAAGAACCCAATTTGAAAGGTGGTGGCCAGGAGGTGGGGCTTAGTTTGCAATTTGCATAAGATGAAGAGGGAGTGCCATTGGTTTTACTAACACCTCTGGACCAGCCAATTCTCTGTTCGCAATGGAAGCTTGAGTCTCAATGCTGGTGTGAGCTCTACTTGTTATTTTCTGAGCACAACTTGCATAGAAGTAGGGCACCCTCTGACCTGCCTAACTTTGATAATATGGCAAACTAGATCCATCAACACATATTTCTACACCGAAATTATAGAGAACTTGGGGTCACACCATGTTGACAGATGGGCCTGGATCCACCGAAATCTGCTTCCCTTTTCCTCCCTGCCTCCTCTCCCTTCCAGGCAGCCATGTCAGYTAGAAGGCCCCTACCCTGCTTTCCAGGACTGGGCTGCCCCTCCCCAGGGCCTCTGCTTTCCTGCCTGAAGCAGAGGGCCCAATAGCTTAGTATCATTTTCCTTATAGGTTTSGGTCACTGACCTCTTTGGGAGCTGGATAAGCTCTAGATATTATCTCCAGAAAAAAACACACGTATCTTGAAGCCTCAGTTTTTTACATGCAGTTTTAGGGAGTTGGGGAATCAGGTCAAGAAACAGGTTTGCAATTTTTTTTTTTTTTGTGTGTGTGTGTGTGCCAGAAATCTTCTAATAGTCTRAAGAAGGTATTGACTCTTTCTCTGAATAATGATTTTAGGTGAATAAAATACATACTCTTATAGGAGAAACCAATTATAATGAAATAATTTACAAAATTTTGAAACTTTCTGATATAGAAATACCTATGTACTTTCATCTAAATGGATTAAATAACAAGATCTAATGGTAAGTCTAGTAACTACTGCAATTTTGAAGTACCGATGAGCAGAAAAGATGTTTTACAAAGACTGCCTCATTGTGAAATGAAATTACTGTGATTTCCACTGATGGCAGGTGCTGCCATTTCTGCTGGGGTCTGCTGTCTACATTCATCACTGAAGGCAGTGCTAAATTTCAGCTTCAGGTTCATGAAAATCCAGGGGCATGTGTCACCATCCATAATTCTGAACTTTAGGTTAACAACCCCTGAGATGCAAAGATTCTCTGTGACTCGGGGCCTGGCAGCCGCACCGTTCTGCCTTTATCACAGAGGGAAACACAGGGCTCTGTTCCCAGACTTAGATCGGCTGAGGCTATCATGATTTCCTACATTCTGCAGGGCAAGTCGAGGGGACACTTAYAGTAGCTTCTGTCCTCCCCCTGTGGAGAGAGGAAGATGGGGTGGGGTGGGAACTGGGGGTCAGCTGCACACAGGTAACTCCTGCTTTCCTGAGCAGAGGTGAAGGCAGAGAGATTTCCTCTGTGAAGCTGCCTCAAGTCTGGAAAATGCCTCAAGTCTGTGGAGTCTTGTAGCTTAGGATACGGGAAACCTCTTCCTCTCACTTTGAACAGGATTTGAGGCCCTCAGGCATCAAGTTTGCCACTTGCCTTAACGACTCCTTTCCAGACATGCTCTCCTAAGTGGGGGAGCCCTGCTCGGCTGCTTGTGTCCCAGGCAGACACACGGGTTTATTTTTGCTTATCTTCCTCCCACGGCTTTATGAGTGATGCTGAAAAATGCATACCTGGGCCCCAAATGCTAAGCCTGAGGTTTGGCAGGTGTAAAGGTGTGCACAGCACTTGGAAATAAGAAATAGCATCGCTATCATCATACAGTAATGACAAGCTGAGCCACTGTCAGAACAGCAGGGAACGGCGGGACTTTCTCTTTGGTGTGCTAGAACTCAGGCCTGCATGAGGATGAGGAGTTCAAGTTCAGATAAAAGGAAGTGCGTTCCTGAAGGGTGGTGGAGGGACAGCAAACTCCCCAGGAAGAGACCCTGAGAGCGGCTTCCTTGGCAGGGCCTCTCCTAGAACTAGATGTCGTGGCTACTCGGAGGCACACGATGGTCTGACTGTCACCATCTGTCAAAGAGGCTCGCACAATATCGTCTGCTTACCAATTTTACTTCTTGCTTCATTTATACTTTCTCCCAAGGCCTTTGCTTCAGAAAACCTAGAGGGGGAAAAAAGAGAAAAATTCACTTTTTCTGTTCATCCTACATTATGTTTGAAAAAGAATAGATTTCTGAGACATCTGTAGACTATTATAAAACTTTATTAAAAGACATAAAGGAAAATCTACAGAAAGTGAAATATATTAGGCTTAAAGATAGAGATGAAGTTTGTATTATTATAGATACCATGAATTTTTAGTCTTTCCAGCCTAGAATTTTCATTCTCATATTCTTTAATTTATGGTTTTGATTTTCTTTTGTTTTATGCTGCAAGGGTACCMGAATAAAGCATGCAGTTAAGGTTTCTGTGCTGTGATCTATCAATCATGGTACCAAGATCTTAGAGCCAAAAAAATACATACTTAAATAGTTTTTTTCCTGATTATAAAGTAATAAGTCATAGATCAGCAAACTATAACTGTTCATGAGACAAATCTAGCCTGATGCCTGGCTCTGTAAATAAGGTTTTCTTGGAGCACAGCCACACCTACTCATTTCTATACCATCCACGGCTGCTTTTGTGCCACCACAGCTGAGCTGAGTAGCTGGGAAAGGGACCGCATGGCCTACAAAACTGAAAATAGTTACTATTTGAAAATAAAAAAATTGAAAATAGTATGATTATTGAACCAGAGTTTGAAAATATAATTGAAGAAAAAAATTCAAATAGTTCTCTACACAGAGAAAAGCACATTTTCATAGACATACACATCTAGGTTTTTTTTCTTTCCCTAGCAAATTTCTATAAAGTGAGCTCATACTATACATAGGATTTTATGTATGTATTTATTTTGTTTCACTTAGCATTTTAAGTCCTTCCCTACGGCATTAGAAACTCTGATTTTTGATGAATGCATACTAGTTCACGAGATGGTCTTGCTGGTGTTGAATCAACGAGGCCTCTATATTTTCTAGCATCAATTCATGAGCTACCTACAACAAACCCAGCGGTGCGCTCAGGAAGGACCTGGCCTCTAGGAGAAGCAGGTAGTTCAGTTCTCTACACAGAGTGGACCTGATGAAATGTTGGTTGTCTTCCCTTCCTTTCCTTTCTGCCATGAAGTTAAGGAGGTAACTGAAAACCTATGAAACAACATCCACACTATGTGGTAAGAGTAAATCGCTGTACTATCTTGGGTAACCACAGTGATGCCATTAGAGTTGGATTAGGAAAGGGCCTTTCCCTGAGTGGGGCCAGGAATTAGGAGAGCTTTGTGCACAAGGTGGGATTAACTGGGGTTTTGCGGCTGCATAGGAGTTTTCAGAAAACTTTTTAATCTGAAAATTTCCAAATATAAACAAAATAGAAGAGTAGGACGAGCCCTCACATACCTTGTGCAATTTTATTTCGATCGTCTCTGTCTCCCCATCCTCTTCCCACCCTCCCAGATCTTTCTGGATCCCACTGAATCCCAGCTCTCCTCATCACTGTCTCATCCATGTCAGAGGCAGTGGGAGAGGCATCCCAGCAGGGAACACATGAGCAAAGGCCCTCTGCTCTGTGCAGAGCGGGGGAAGCAGTGCAAATGACGTCATCACCATCTTTCCAAATCTGTCTGCTTGGGCTGGGCTGCAGGAAGGAAGTGTCCAGGGAAGGGGGCTGCATTTTCTCCTAGTGCTGGGTTTCTAGGGACCCCTCCTGGCTGCCTTACTGAAGCTGTTCAGTTCAGGCTCAGTGGAGGTTATGGRGGTCTTCTCTTCAGTTAGGGCCTTAGTTCAGTCGAGTCAGAGCTGGCTCGGTCCAACACACCAGCAGCAGGAAGTGCTGCTGCTTGCTGTTCTGGGCTCTGTGGACTCACATGGGTCTCTGCTACTGGGAAAGGGTAATTTGTCCACGTCACAGAGATGAGGACTGTCTTCCTACTGTGAGTTCTGCTAAGGGAGGGACTGGGACTGATCATGGCTGTGTCCATCCTCAGTACCTAGGATTCAGTGGGATCTGATCATCKCACAATGCTGGAGGAGCCAGTGTRAGTCTATACAAGGGAGGACACTCGGAGCAGAAAGGGCCATCTCCACTGTGCAGTGGCCCAGGGAAGCCCTGGGGGCCTGGGGTGGAGAGCTGGGGTCTGAGGGTGGCCCTGTCTTCTTGGGACCATTCTCCCTTCACTTTGCCAGTTGTCACCACTCCAGGCCACCCCCGCCCACATAATCCTGGACAAGACAAACTCTGAGGGGCCCAATCAGAGGGAGAGGAGGGAGAGTTGAGGAGGAAGGCGGGAGGCTGAGAAAGCAGTGGGAACCCAGCATCRGGGCCACACTCTGCCCAGCCTGCCCGCGTCTCCCCACCTCCCCAGCCAGCCCAASTCTCCAGTCATTCCCTGCTCCCCGCCACTGCTCCTGGGTGAAGTCCTGCCCACCTGGCCATTGCCATGGGGGGGGGGGCTTCCTGACTCCTGACCTTTTAAAAGAGGCCCATCCCCAAGGATGAGCTGGTTCAGGGGGCAGAGAAGTGAGTGGCCGACTTTCCAGGGGCACAGGACCCCAAGCGGAGCTCCCTGATGAGGTGTGGCCTGTATCCGGAAGGGCTTCTTGGGAAGGGGCAGGAGAAGGCTCCATGCCTCAGCCAGGACCATGAGGAGCCGAACCTCAGGCTTCCTTACGACCGGTGCCAAAGCAGTCCTTTCAGGGTGCTGCTAGCTGCATGGTGACTCTGGGGCGGGGACAGCGTCACTGAGTGTGGTACAGTACAGAGCCGGCAGGATACTGCATTCACTGGCACAGAAAGGGGCTGGGCACGGGCGGGTCTGGGAAGGGAGATCTGATCACGCTGTGCCCTKGCCATTCTTCTCAAGGCTGGCTTCCTGTGACATCCCCTCAGTGCTTCTGTCCTGTGCCTGGAGACATCCTGTGACACTGGGGAAGCACTGTCACTGGCTTCCTGGTATTGGTCCTCCTGTCTCTCCTTCTCTCTCTTTTTTGGCAGATTTTCCCGCCTGTTCTTGAACATGGTAATCCTCAGGATTTGGTTGAAGCCCCCTTCTTGCTTTTCTGGCTCTCCGCAGGCACCCCATCCAGGCCAGTGTCTTTGCTCTCCGTTGTTACCTCCCGATTTTCCATCTCAGCCCTACCTTAGTTCCTGAGCCATGCAGACCTTGTCTGTTGGGTGCCCTGCAGACAACTAAATTCACTGTATCCCGGAAGAAGTGGTCTCCTCCTCTGCCCACTTCCCTGTTCCTCCTCAAACACAGCTCATGCTGGTGACCTGCATGCCTTCCTTTGCCCTGTCTCCCATGAGCCCCTTTGCTGAGTCTTGGAGTCTGAGATATTCTGCTTCCTCAACACTTTCCCAGAGCACTCCACTTGACTTCTTCTTGCTTCATTTGCCTTAAAGCAGAGAGTGGTCATCTGGCTCCCAGATTTCTTCGACCACAGCTCAATCCTCCCGCTGGATTCACCTCCCCTGCCTGCACACTAGTCCCCACACCTGAGCCTGTGATCCTCAAGTGCAAATGCCTGGTCCTGTTCCTCCCTGCTTCAGACTCCTCAGGACATAGTCCACATTCCTTAACGGGTGAAGTAGACTCTTCATCTTTGTGCTCTGGCTCCTGCTGCCCTCCCCAGCTCTTCTCTCACCACCCTGCCCCCCTCCACCTTCCAAGTGGTCTGGGATCACTTTCAGTTCCACCAAGTGTCACATTCTCTCTCTCACCTTAGAATCTTTTTTTTTTTTTTTTTTTAAATATTTATTTATTTATTTATTTATTTTTAGTTTTCGGTGGACATAACATCTTTGTTTGTATGTGGTGCTGAGGATCGAACCCGGGCCCCATGCATGCCAGGCGAGCGTGCTACCACTTGAGCCACATCCCTAGCCCCTCACCTTAGAATCTTTCACCTGGCCGATTTCCACCTAACTCCTGCAAGTTCTCTTTCTCTGGATAGTTCTCCAAGATCGTACACGTCTGCAATGGTGCTGCCCCCAGGCAGTGTGCCACAAGGAATTAACCTGTTCATTTGATTTGTTTCACTTTTAATATCATAGGCTCTCTGAGGACAGTGACCATGGCTGTTTAATTCACTCTCATTTTCCTGAAGCTTAGAACAGGGGCTCACACTTGGTAAGCGTTCCATAAATATGCGTCGACTAAAAAAAASCAGCCAGGCTTGTGAGGAAGCATGCGCACACAGGCAGAGCCCCCGGATCGGGAGTCAGCAGGCTTGGATCATGTGCCTCCTCCACATCTTAGCAGGAAGGGCTCAGATTCCTCACTTTTAAGATTAGGAGGAGATGTCTCTCAGGGCTGGGTTGATGCAGCAAGTACCCAGGTGTGTGTGTGTGTGTGTGTGTGTGTGTGTGTGTGTGTGTGTGTGAATTATGACTATCCTGGGCAAGGAGAAACCCTGGGGAGAGGGGCTGAACTGTGAGGTGGGGCTGTTAGCTGCAAGCGGTAACCACAGACAACAGTGGGTGAATGTCAGTCTCTGAGCAAACCAAAGGATTGGAGGAGCTCCCTGCCAGTCAATGTCAAGAACTCAACATGGCTGCCAAGCTCCTCATCTTCAGAGAGAATGAGAAAATAGGGGGATGGAGGTAGAATCTCATGTAACCTCTCGGACCAGTTCCTGGGAGAATCCTGATCTGCCCTTGGCGTGTGGCAGGCAAAGATACTGTTTGTCACTGGGTAAGCAGCTGTGAACCCAGCTCCGGGTTCTCCCCAGGGCAGTTAGAGCCGCCCTCTATTCACTGGGCCCCTGGGCAGTCGCTGCTGGCATTCATAAACCCTGGGTCCCCAAGAACCTCAGCAGCCTTATTCCCTTGCCTCCCAGCTGGAAGGGTGTCTTTAGGTCAGTGGGGCCAGCTATGCTGTTGGAGGACAAGGGCTTTGGTGACATCTGTTTAGTCTTTTTTTTTTTTTGAGATCACTTAACTTCGTAGGCTCCTTTTTCATGGAGTGAGTGGAACACTCTTCCCATCAGAGGAAGGCAGGGGACTGGGCCTGTATTTTGCCATGTCCTGTCTCTGTAAACCTGTACGCGGCCCCTTAGCTGCCTCTGT